CAGGAAACATTCTCAATTCCTTACGTTGCTTTTTAGAGAAATTCTTCCAAGTTTCATAAGATTCGAAGACAGTGTTTTCGGATGCCTGTCATCAATATAAAATCTTTATAGAAATTACTTATAGAAATTTCCAGGTTACCAATGGCCATTCACCCACTGTAGGCAGTAAGCAGCTGAAATGCAGCCCCTGCCCTGGAAAAAAATTGATCTCGGTAGAAGAATCAGAGCCTCAAGCCTGCAGCTAAAGCACAAAACAGAATTCACACACAGAAGGGCTTCTGTGACAGCAGGTGTTTGGGGTGAGTGGGGATGCGGGAGCAGAGGATCAAGTGGGGGTTTGGGTTAGGTGGTGACAGGCTCCAGGACCAGACTCCTGAAGGAGAAGTCAGGTGGATTGTTCACGGCGGGGCCAGGGTCCAACAGCAGGAAGAAACAGGTTAGTAAGGCTGGGAAAGGACAGTGTAATCTAGGCAGCCTGGTTTTCAAATAGGTTGTGTTTTGTACGAGAAATGCCCACCTGAATGTTCCGTGAAGAAGGACCTAGGCAGGTGGTATGATGGAGAGAAAGCCAGCGAGGGGGCTGCAGCCAGAAGGGCAAGCCCTGGGCACCCAAGGTGGGGCTGGGGCTTTCGGGGCCACCAGCAGCTGTGCCCAGCCATGTCCCTGCCTTTGAGATGGGAGTCTCAATCCAGCAACTTTTCACCTTACAAAAGAAAACTCCATAACACTGAGATGCCCAAAGCTTAAAAGGTGCACACAGCAAGGACTGAAGGGACCCCAGGTCCTGGGGGGAGGGGCCCAGGAACAGGTCCTGGGGGAAGCCCCAGGGCCTCACAGTGTGCTGGTGGCTAGAGTCAGGCTGGCTTTGGTTTTCATTCTGTCTCCATTTTCTGTCCTGTTCTGCGTGTGCCATCTTTGTAATAAAAAGGTTGCAGTTTCTTAACACGAAGCCCTTTCACCACCCTGCCCCCTCATACATGCGCCGTTCCCAAAATCAAATGTTGGCTCTTAAAACCCCTTCAGCTAAATGCCCACACTGGGGAAGCCGGTGAGCGGGGTTTGATCATGTGTCCATGTGCCAATGATCCCAGAAGATGCCTGAGTCTGCAATAGCTGCCGCCCCGTCCTCCTTCACACTGATCATGACCTAGAAAAGCAGGAGCCCCACAGAATAGTCCCCCATTACGATGGCTCGACTTCTCGACGGCACAAAAGCAGTGCAAACCCAGGGCACCCACTGTCCCAGCACCTGCAGCCTCCACTGCCCACTTTTAGCACGGTACTCGGGAAATTACTTGGGCCACTGTCCCGTGTAGACTTGGTACTAGGTGGTTTCGCCCAGCCGTGGGCCGACATGAGTGTTGTGAGAGTGTGTCAAGCAGGCTAAGCAGTGATGCTGGTCAGCTGGGTGTATTAAGTTCAGTTTCAACTTGAGATATTTTCGACTTGCAATGGCTTTATCAGGATGTGACCTCATCATAAATAGAAGGGCATCTGTATGGTGTTACTGGGGCAGCTTTTGATTTTGCTTTTATGGTTTAAAATATGTTATGAAGGCCCAGAGTCCCCACAGCCTCACATATGAAATGCATTTTACCCACAAATCACAAAGAGGAAGGATTCCCAGTGTGTGTTTGGGGGAAATTATGTCATTTAATATTGTAAATGATGTTCCATAGGCAAGCAGAACAGATGCAGCGTGGCAAGCAGGGCGGTGAGTGCAGCCTCCTAGAGCGGGGTGTGCTGAGAGGAGGGGCTTCGTCTTGGTTTTAATATAATCAGGTATATCTTTTGATGACTTAATTCTTGGTGAAAAATCTAATCATGCCAGTGCCCTCCTCCTCCTCCTCTTCCACCCCGAGCTTATGGGGTGCTCAGTTTATATTTCTTGTCATAAATTTAGAAATTCGAGTGCAGTGTGATTTCACTTCCCATAGTTAAGATAAATGAGAGAATTTACACAGCTGCAGTTTACAGGAATTAAGATAATATCCAGTGCCTCTTTTGCCGACAATATTTGAGATTGGATTAAACCTGCCAAGGTTCATCATTTTAGAATCCATCATGTTTTATTGAAAGAAGCTCATTTGTTGGCGATAGATTTTGTGAAAAGAACATTTTCTAAAGAAAAGATAGGACCCAAAATTATTTTGCCATGAACCATTTCATATCTATTTGTAGGACTGTACCTCAACCAAGCCCAAGAAAAATAACTACAGACGTGGTGAAACTGCACTTTTCTCCCCAGCATTCTCCCCATGGACCAGACTTAGGCTATGTGAACCCATCAGTATTTTCATAAAACTTAAAGATTGTATCATGCAAAAAAACATTTTCCCGTTAGAAAACTTTTGCATAAAAATTGTATCCAGTGCTCCATAGTGACTGTCTCAAGTTAAAGTGGTTTATCAGTTAAGCCATTTGAATTTTGCTTGATTTTATAATTCAGGACCATCTTTATGGGGGTTTCTTCCGCACACAGAGGAGCCTCAAGTTGCCTGGGTGGTGGGTTACAGGGGAGAGGGGACCAACCTCCCCACTGCAGATGGGCTCCTGAGATGCGTGTGGTGCAGCGTGGAAACAGTCCACAACTCGGCTGAGTGGTCAGTGCAGCCTCTCCAACATCAGCTCTGATGTCCCCTGAGTAGCTAAGGGCCCTCCCGCAGCAGGCTGCCTCTGTGTCCCCACCTGTGGCCAGAAGGTGCTCCCCGCCTTGTGCACCTGTGTGCAGGGGACATTAGTCTGGTCACCACACATGCCTGACACAGCATGGCACAGACCCTACCTCCAGTAGGACCAGCAGGGCAGAGCTGAAATTTGTACAGTGGATTTGAGCCGGCTTTGTTTGAAACTTTAATAAGACAGCGTGAGTCTCACCCAAGGTCCCTTCCCCTTCCCCTGGCGTGTCATGATCCTTCCCATCCTGTCTCTCTCCCCGCCTGTCCCCTTTAGTGGGTGCCAGTGGGCAGGGATAGACAAGAGCAGATCGTCCTGGATGGGAGGGGGTGTCAGGGAGTAGAAGGTGGGGGCTGCGGCAGGAAGACACAACGCCACAGGTAGATGTGCCATGTGTGGCCCTTTGCACAGGGGACTATACACCCACACATATCTTATTTCTGATATGGACACACTCTGTCTCCATATGACACACAGCCGGTGAAAACTACAAGCAAATTTGAGCACACAAGACCAATATTTCCTGTGGGTGCAATATCACCGCTGGTTTGGTCTTTTGAAATGATTTTCCTTAAAGTCACAGCCGTTTCCCAACTAGATGGATCGTTTAGAAACAAGTGGGCTGTGCTGGGGGGCATGTGGAAGTGGGGCATCCAGGATGCATTTGTGTCCTTGTTGACTTCAAGTAATCCCTGCTCATAGACAAGTGCCAGAAATTAAGGTTGGAGCAGCCCAGGCTCAGAATATCTGCCTCTGTCTGACACTAGAAACTGTTTAACCTTTTGCACAGATTGCAGCACCCCTCCTTTCTTAAATGCATCACACCCCATGGACTCACAAAAGTGAGCCAGTTTAAAAAAAAACTTCTGTGAAAACTGAAAGGGAACAGGACATCCCCATCAAGAGATTGTTCTGAGCTCCCCAGCACTGGAATTGAGATTCGTGGTAACTGATGTCACTCAGCAGTAAACGGACTCCCATTACACACCTAACACGGTGTCTTTGTATGTGGAATATTAATGTGTAAAATAAGAATGCAAGTATTTCATGTAAGAGGTGTATCATGTCACCTACACTGTGTGTCCTTGGAGACACGTCCATCCCTGGCTATCAGAAAAGCGGAGGAGGCCTCTGGGATGGGCAAGGAATGCTTTGCCTCTCTGGAGGAGCTCACCAGGCTGCAATTTCCATTCCTCACAGCTTTTCTGAATTAACCAGGTGGACATCATTTCGATTAGATTCATGAAATAGTATCCAAACTATGTATTTCCTACTTCTCAAGTAAATAATTTCGAGGACTGACAGCTAGACAGTATCTCTTAGCAACTAGTGGTTCCTTAGACACTGGAAGAGCTTTCTGTTCAGCCGACCTTGTAGCTCATCTGCAGCATATTCCCTCCCAGATGCTGGTGAACCTGCACCTGCCCCTCTCTCACTGTGGGGAAGGCCGACCTGTGGACTCCGCAGCCCCGCCTGGTCTGAGCGCCCCCTGCGGCCAGACACAGGGCCACCCCTTCCACCCGGCGGGAACGCCCTCCTGCGCGCACACACGCGGGAACGCCCTCCTGCACGCACACACACACACACACACACACACACACACCCCACAGCTTCCGTCCCTTAGCCAGCTGCCTACTCAGACCTGGCTCCTGCACCCAGTTTTGGTGGCTACTCAGACAGGTCTCCTGGGACGCCTCTCAACCCAGCCAGTCAGTTCCAGTACTGCACACAAGCCACACACCCAGGACATATGGCACACGCTATACACACAGGACACAACACACACAGCACATAGTACAGAGCAGACATGGCACATATATGTCACACATGTACAGGCAGCACACACAGCACATACATGTTATAGATGGTACATGGCACACACAGCACACAGCTCACACATGACTCACATCACATGTCTCACATAGCATACATGGCACAGCAGACACATCACAGCCCATACATGTCACACAGTACACTCATCATACATGGCACACATGACACTGCACATACATGGAACACACATGGCACACACAACTCACACACCTGGACACCTAGAGCCATCCCTGGATCTGCACCTGTGCCTTCCTATGAACTTGCTCTGAGGTGGCCCCAACTCACACTGACTCCTACATGGAGGACCACCTGAACTCACTCCCTGACTCTGTTTCCCCCAGTCCTACATGGAGGAGCACCTGAACTCACTCCCTGACTCTGTTCCCCCTGGTCGTACGTGGAGAACCACCTGAACTCACTCCCTGACTCTGTTTCCCCCAGTCCTACATGGAGGACCACCTGAACTCACTCCCTGACTCTGTTTCCCCCAGTCCTACATGGAGGATCACCTGAAAAACAAGAACCGGCTGGAGAAGGAGTGGGAGGCACTGTGTGCATACCAGGCAGAGCCCAGCAGCTCGTCCGTGGCCCAGAGGGAGGAGAACTTGCCCAAGAACCGCTCCCTGGCTGTGCTGACGTGTACGTACCAGCCCCGGGGAGTCCCTGGCAGGTGGCAGCCTCCACACAGGTGTTGGGAGAGCCCTCCCCATGCCCGCCCTGGCTTTCCACAATAGGCCCCTTTGGGCAACCAGGTGAGCACAGCCCCAGCCTGAGTGGCCTGACCCAGCCACTTCTCTGGTCCTGTGGCAGAGTCCTGGGCACTTGAGGTCCCATGAGCACTGGCTCTGTTGTCTCCTGCCACTGTGTGGTCCCAGACACGTCCCTTCACGACTTAGAGTGAGTAGCAGCATGGCAGCCTGGCCTGGGCACAGAGCCAGTGGCATGGCTGTTGCAGCATTTGTGCCCTGGCCACCATTCCCACACACACCACCAAGGACCCTCACCCTGGGTAGGTATCTTGCTGGAAATGGAGATACAAAGCTCAGCAGTTCTGGGCGGCACCAGCGGCTCAAGGAGTATGGCGCTGGCCTCATGTACCAGAGGTAGTGGGTTCTAACCCGGCCTTGGCCAAAAACTGCAAAAAAAAAAAAAAAAAAAAAAAACTCGGCAGTTCTCAGAAGGGCCCTGTGTGGAGAGGGAGACATGGCTGCAGTAGGCAACATGCACCCCCTATGCTGAAGAAAGGGAGGCTGGTGTCTAAAATGTTGGACAGAAATTGTCACTCCCGGGCAGTGCCTGTGGCTCAAAGGAGTAGGGCACTGGCCCCGTACGCTGGAGGTGGCGGTTTCAAACCCAGCCCCGGCCAAAAACTGCAAAAAAAAGAAATGGTCACTCCCCATTTTCTGATTTCCTGAGAAAGGACTGTGCGTGTCCACATGTGGCCACTCTGCCACTCTCAGGGGCTTTAAGATGGGTCATGCGCCTTCTCACATAGAGAGGGGCTTTCTGAGCTTTGCCTCTGCGGGCCCGTGAAGCCCTCTCACCCTTAGCTCATCCCAAGGGCATGAAGATGAGTGGCCTCCCTGATGAGGGTGAGCCCTCTATCACTGCATCTGGGGACCAGCCTGTCACCACCCCAGCACTGCCTGCGGCTCATCCCACCATGGCCTCATGGGGCAGCTCTTCATCAAACTATAAACATAGATACTTGTTCAGAAGTGAGAAGCAGAATCTTGTGCTGCTTTAGAGCCTAACCTGGGGGGCTGTAAACCTTATGAAATCCAAGTCACCCTGCTGGATGTGAACTCTGACAGGTTAGTCAGTGTCCAGACCAGATCCTCCATTGCTAGGGCTAAGGGTATTCAACCATAAAGAGCTCTGAAAACAGAAGCTGTTAAGATTTATAAGTTTTATGTTTAGAAGAAAAGCAAAATGTAATACGTTCAGTCAGCCCATGGACACTCACCGAGCTCCTGCTGTGTGGCAGGGCTGTTCATGAGCCCATGTGGCCTGGCCCTGTCCTAGAGGGTCGCAGTAAGGCCGGGGGGCTGCAGCTGCTTCTCATGCAGACAGTGGTTTGGGTGCATGGACGTGCAGGAAGGGAGCATCAGGTGTGTGTCCAGCTGTGTGCGGCCTTTTAGGTCTTTTATGATAAACGCTGCAATTAAAAGCCTGCTCTACCAAGAGTTCCCAGCGACAGCCCAGCATGCGAGGGAATGTGGGGGGTGTCTCCTCCTGTGCTCCCGCAGCCCATGTGGCCACCTGGACTGCAGCTCCACCATGGTGACCTGGAGTCAGAGACAAGGACCCTCACCACGGAAGATGTCCCATGCTCTGGTGGGAAGCAGAGCCCTGCTCACAGCGATGGTCAGCGGCAGTGACACTGGAGCCCTCCATGCCTGAGAGGAGATGCTCTTCCCACAGAGCCTCCCAGCCCCAGCAGCCAACCCCTCCCACCAGACGCATGTGGGACCCGGGGTCTTAGCTGACTGGGTGTGGAAAGTCACCCTAGAACAGGAAAGGCGAATCACTGGCCAGAACAAGCCCTGAGGAAAGTGTTTTCATGGATAAATAGGTTTATTTTGAGCGAACCTGTATTTCCTCCATCCTGCTAGCCTTCTTAACTTTTAGGAGGAAATCTTGCCATCAGATTTCAGCCTGTGTCTCCTCCCAAGTGGAATATTGGGGGTAGACACCATTGCTAACACTTCTGCTGGTCTGCCCAGCTCCAGAGAGACTCCTGCCCCTCTCACCCTTCACAGTGTAACCAGCTGTCACACTCCTCACGGGGCAGAATCGGCTGTGATGGGGCCCTAAAGTACCGCAGAGAACGGACTTCTGGTGGCTCTGTGTCCCTGAGGATTTGGGTTGGGTTTTTGTAAACAGGTGGACTGGAGGGTATTCCTGTGTGTGTGTCCCATGTGTGTGGGCCGCGTACATGCCCTGTGCATACCCCATGTGTGAGCCTCATATGTACTCTGTGTGTACCCCACATGTGTGCCCCATGTGTACCCTGTGTGAGCCCCACATGTGTATCCCAAGTGTGCCCCATATGTGTGTCCCATTTGTGTCCCATGTGTGCACGCTGCATGTGTTCTGTGTATATGTGCCCCACATCTGTACTCTATGTGTACCCTGCATGTACCCCACGTGAGTGTGCCCCTTTATGTGTATCCCATGTGAGTCTTATGTGTGCCCTGCATGTGCCCCTGTACATAGACCCCATAGGTGAGCCTTGTGTGTGCCCCACATGTGCACTCTGTATATGCACCCCGTGTGCGTGCCCCACACGTGTACTCTG